ACTCCCCGTCGACAGCCTAAGTGTAACCGCTGTGGCTACGGACACACCATGATTCACGCCTCAGCCGTCCTTCATTGGTGAAATTTTGATAAATTTATGTGACGGTATATTTATTTCTGTTTTGGTTGGTTTGTATTATTATGTTTTTTCAGAACACGGAGGGCGTGTAAGGAAGTGTTCTTCAATATGTCTTGGAAAGAGGAGTATTGCGTCGCTTTTAGGTACGTTCCATTTCTTTTTCTATCTATTTAACTTTTTGTGCTTCATTGTTCGTTTATACAGACAGTCAGAGTTTACGGGACAAAAAATGAGCAAAAAATCATTTCATCATTTGAAAATTGGATGTTTGAGTCTGTTGCTTTCTCGGCTATCGTCTGGTACGTAAGTTGGTGCTATAAGTTTCATCTCAAAAAACATTTCCGTGAGCTCACTCATAAACATTTAGCTGATGTCACAAAAATCCCGTGCTAACGTAGTGTAGCGGGCTCTTCCGTTTTGCGGGTCCATGACGCGCGCGTCAGCTCGCTTTCCTTCCCTCTCCAGGGTCCAGTCAGACCTACACAATAACCCTCTTCCAGGATAATAATCTTCTTAGTTTCTTTCAGCACTAAACGGTTCACCTTGGCGGTATATATTGTGGTGTTGCTGCTGAAGTCGCGGCATGGTCTCGCAGAGCAGGCACGACGCGCTCGGGTGGTCCTGCTGAACTACGCTGGCGCCAAAAATCCTTTAGAATCAGAAAAAATATCAAAAAAGATATTGAGGTGGTCCTGATAGCTCACTAATATGAAACGTTGAGCTTTACTCTATTGACCTAACCATCCAGAAAGCCATAAAGGTGATCCCACCCCCCCCCCCTCCTCAAACTAGCACCGCGTCGCGGCCATGTGGTTATCAGTTAAGTTCTCCCACTAGAGGATTCGAAGAGTTCGCTTTTTGTAAGCGTTTTCTCGAACCGCGATGCGGCGCGGCATCATAAGGAGTGAAAAAGATGAACTGTAATATCTCCTTTGCGATCCATCCACTTGCAATGACCCATGTGGGATGAGTCATATTAACTATTTGAGCGTTTGAGATTATTTATAGCATGATTTAGACTTTTTGCCGTACATCGTACACTCCACTCTTCCGCTGTATCTTTTATAATCCCATATCTTCGCACTTCGCACTAAGGCACCCTCGATAATATCTTTTGGTCACTTTGACTTGGTTGAAAGCGGCTTCTGCTGCCGTTCTATCGTTATATTGCGAAATTCTAGCAAATATTCCTTATGGCCATTACAGTGCTTGTTCGGAGACCGTTTGAGTGAGTGCAGCCCGCCTGTCTAATTGCGAAAAACCGCAGGTGGGTGGAAGATGGGTTTGCCCACTGGGGTGAGATTGTCTCCAACGCGAGTCGATGGGCAATTTTGGCAGGGCATTTCTGAAGAGAAAAATAAGAATAAGTTTGAAAACATCTACAGGACGTGGTATTTTAGGAGCCAGATATGAGCTCGATTAGTAAACCAGACTATCAAGCGGAACCATCTCCATCTTAGATGAGTGAGTACGCGAGCGGGTAGAGATCCTGTAGTGTGAGGAAAATAGGTCCGCGAAGGATTGACTTCTAAAAAGCAGTGAAAGGAGTTATATGACACAAAATATTTTAGAAGCTTCGGCTGGCCGCCAAAACTCAGTGAGTCCGACATGGTTTCAAAATGTTTTGACGATCGCAGTTTTCAGCGCGTTAGCAGACCTCAGCAAATCTTGATGGTGCTTTTTTTCAGATTTTCTAGACCGAGTGCACGAGCAAATATCCGAGTCGTTTGTTCAATGTCACTCCCGAAAGAGACTCTACTCCAGTACGACGGATAGCCTTCGCTTTGGAAAATATAGTGAGTAAGTTCGAACTATGAATTCGCGATTTCTATGAAAATTCCGTTCGAATTGTAATTACCTTGCACATACTTTACTGTTCAAGATTGACCAGTTGGGAAAGCCTCTTGTGCCTTCCACGCAGTCTCTAGCGCAAGCATTAGTGTACAAGTTCAATGGGCCCCATCGTCGTCAGGGATTCTGGATGATTTATAAAAACCTCTCACGAGCTCTGCGGAAATATAACGGAGAAGACCTCTTGACCAAGGTTTCAGATTTGCATAAGGTATAAGCTAGTTACTTGGGACTGTCTTGATGAAATGAATATTCACCTGTCTTGCAGAAAGCAACTGCAAGTGGTGCAGGATTCTATATGCCGACTGTGGAGGTTTTGCGTTACATAGGTGCGGCCTATTTGAAAAGGCTGTTTAGACTTCAGCAGGGTATTCGCTCAGTTCATCAGCGTCCTCAGTTTGGATACATTGAATAGTATTATTTTTTTTTGTTTTAAGATTCGGGATTTATGTGTTCGTACTGCTCACGTAATAATGGGACAGCTGGAGTTGGGTCATTGGGTAAGTGAGACCCTTATACTAGAACGGCCACTTAAGCACATCAATGGTTTGTGGAGCTGGTTTGTGCTGTTCGGCTTGGGAGGTTCATTATACACTTCTGCAAGGTTCTCTTGTTAGTTCCTTTTCAAATTACTCGTCTTACCTTAGTGGAACTCGTAGACACTTGCTACGTGTAAGCAAAGCTCGTGCACTTGCATAGCTTTATAGGAATTAACAGGTCTCTACTGGCGTCTCAGGATATTTGTCCACCGGAAAGCCTCCTTCCTCATTCCTCCTTTTCCTTCCTTCCTTCTCTTTTCCTTTCCTTCTCCCTTCAGATGCCCGGCTACAGTAGATGCGATGAGGAAACCTAAAAAACCTATACCTCTGGACTCCTTCAGCAAGAGCATGTTCGGATTACAGGAGCCCCGTGACCCTTTACGAGGGGTATCCGCATTGATGGGCGTGAACCAGTACAGTGCCCCCCCCAAGCCGAACTATGCCAGATGGCGTAACACAGACAGCATAACTTCCTTCCCCTAACTGTTTAATGCTTGTACTATATATGTCGCAAATCCTCTGTTAAGGAAAAATTCAGCTTGTTCATTGTGGCGTTATGCGCTGACGTCAGCAGTGGTATCAGAATCCAGGCTGCTTCAATGGAATCCGCCTATGATGGCTTGGCAAGGTGTCTTCAACCGCTAGATAATAGGTTACTGCTTTATTGTTTGTGTTTCCTCATACATCTGGCGCAGATGAGAGCATAAGGACCGCGACACGCGGTTCTTAGAGCTCGTTCATACTCCGCATCGGCGTTTCGAGCGCTATAAGCGCTGAGGAAAGTATAGGTGTCAATCCCGCGTTTCAAGCGTACTTCAGCGTACACCAGCGAAAGCTCAAAGCGCTGTATCGATACCTCCCAGCCGCTCAGATACCTATACCCGGTCGCTGAAAACGGCTGGCGTACGCTTGGAACGCTGGCACAAAGTATGGACGATCGGCATATTTACCCTTTACTGCCCTACTCCGTGAACAGATTTGGCTCAAAGTTGTCTCCTGGGTAATTTGACCTCCATGAATACGAATATCACATTCGCTTAGCCCGAAACTTCCTGGCGCCCGCGCCACAGGCGCCGGTGATTTGGGGTATTTTGGCGCCAGCGCCTGTAGCGCGGGCGCCAGGAGGTTTCGGCCGAGCGGATGTGATATTCGTGTTCAAGACTACCCCAAGAACAAGTTTTCAGCAAATTTGGTGATTTAGGGTATTTTGGCGCCGGCGCCCGTGGCGCGGGCGCAGGAGGTTTCGTGCCGAGCGGATGTGATATTCATGTTCACGAGGTCAGACTACCCAGTGAACACATTTTTAGCTAATTCTGCCCTGCCCATGCAGAAAAAAGTCGGTTGAACTGGGCTGTTTTTGGTAGAATGGGGCAGTAAAGGGTAAATAGTGCCCCGGACGATATCATTAGGCCGCCATTCGTGCTAGAGCGCGCCGCCACAGTTCACATGTCCTAGCTCCTAGTGGATGGCGGTGATCATTTTTGTGTTCATACTGACCCATCAACATTCATGTGTAGGTTTCCGGCATCCTTGGCTGAATTGTCCATTTTCTCGTCGCTTCGTGGTCGCATCTCCGTGCAAAAGAACACGGATATGTCACGCGTAATGCGCTTGTTGCAAATCTCAGACGAGCAGTTGGATGCAGTACGGAACAGGGATCAAATGGCTCAGTTTAGGTTAGTGTCCTTTGGTACCTGGACATTTCTTCATAGAAAATGACGCATTCATTTGTTTAGAGAGGAAATCTTGTCAAATGTCAGGTCGAAAGACGAGGACTTAGGAGTGGTCGTTGACAGGATTGAGCAACTACCTTGGTGAGTTTAGTAGTCAACAGTTTCTAGAAGGATACGCAACTACAATCTACTCTCCGTTGTTTGCTTCATGCATGCTTGAATGCAACACCGCATTTCCGTCATTTTTTTTCTAACGAAAGTATAAATTTCAGCACAAACACGTCGGTTGCCGAAGCAACAAGAAAGGTCTGTCGTGTCCTTTTCCTATCCATCTTCTCCTGGTATCGTATTTGTAGTTTTCAGCCCTCGTCGGCCGATTCTGGGCTAGACCTAAGTTCCGAAACGTCATTGTTGGATGCTGTCGTTGACCGTCAAGAACAAGTTAGAACCTATTTTTTGCCTGGGTTTCGCTAGTCATAAAATTGTTTGTGAAAGACATTATTCCGCGGCATCTACGAAGATACGTCATCTGTATGTTGTTCAGAAATCCCTTTGGAGTTATGTTTCTGTAATTCAGGGCGAGGACGTAGTGGACGACGAGTCACTAAAATTGGTGAAGAAGCGAAAAAGAAAGGGGAAAAAGGAGGTATGGAGTTTTGATCTCCTTCTTCTATCGTGGTTAGGGCCATTGTTGCACTTGCTAGTCTAGTCGTGGAACAGCTAACTCAAACATTTTCACAGAGGCTACTCGAGCTCTTGACCATGAGTCTGATATTCACCTGGGTTCTTTGTTCTACGGAGCACAGCAAATGATGCCAGGACAGTAGAGCTTTTCTAAGGTTCCAGTCCTACGGACGGCAGTCTTCCGGAGAACTTGGGAATAAGCTTATCTTGTTCAATCAAGGGTTTTCGATAAAACCCTCCTCCCAGGAAGACCCATGGGAACATGTACCTAAGATGTACGTTATTGCAAGGACAAACAGTTTAACCCCACCTCCCGCTCAGGGCATTTTGGTACCATCCTTTATTGCTGTTGCTCTCACAAAGGCCTAGAGAACTGGCGTCAGCCTGAAGCAGCTATGTGACCTCCACAGCTGATTCGATCTCGCGCAGATTTCTTGACAATTTCGCTGAGAGGTGGAGGAAACAGCTGTCCAGCATACATCGCTATGATCCGCGGTTTATCTTCATGCCAAGATTGGGTTCTTGACCGTTTTATTCAACAACTGGTCGTTCAGTGGAAATATTCACTGTATGAGGCTACAGAAGGCGCATAGGTCGAAAAGCCATCCTATCCCAACTGAGGGGTTAAAGCCAGCGTGATTCTCCTGAGCAGTTCTGATAACGATCAGTGAAGCTAATGTGCTCTACTCCGAAAGAGATAGTGACGTAGAACAGGTCAAACATGCATTTAAGGTATTTTTTGGCTGTAAACCCTCGTAAGAGCTTACTCCTCGGTATTTAAAACAAGCTAATTGATTGTCTCATGAAGATGCATCGGGTAGCACCTGGTCATGCTGATATTTCATTGCTGTCGACCATCTCAGTCACATCACCTGTTCACTCTGGTAGTGCACCAGATAGTACCAAGAGAAGGAAGAAGAAAAATAAATTCCATAAGGTTATTTCCTTATATTCATATTATTTTAATCTGTTTGAAGTTACCTCCTATTTTCTGGAGCAATAATGACTTTATTCTTTCTTGTAGGCAACTTGCCCGGAAGCCTCCGAGTGTGCGGAAGGCATTAATACGTCCAGAAGTTTCTCGTTGGTGGAAGGTGACAAATCACTATTGAGTAGTCCTGATGTGTTATCGAAGAAGCGCCCAAAGCAAAAGAAGAAAAGGATGTCAGAAAAGGTATCTTCCACTGTTGGTGTGTATCATTTTCCTTGCTTATCAATAGTCTCCCGCATCAGAGCTCCTTCGCTGAGGTGGACGATGGAGATGAGCCATCAAATGGAGAGCAGATTTTGTCTAAAAAGCGCCTGTTGTCAGCCAGCTTTTCGGAAGTGCCACTACGAAACAAAAAGAGAAAGAAAAAGAGGATATCGCTAGAAGTATTCATTGGTGTCATAGAGTTTTCGAAGTTTCTTGCTCACATGTTAAGTATGTCATCCAATCAAGTTCCTTTTTTGCAGAGTTCTTCCTTAGTCCTCAGTCCCCAGAGTTCACGCTGTACCTCATACCAGACGTCATTCACAGATGACTCATCTTTCAAAACTCCTAAAAAGCTCAAGCGAGTAAGTCATTCTATTTTATGAAGATTTCTTCACTACTGCTGTTGGTAAGTTATAGAAGTTAACCGTTGGAGAAGGCGATGGTTCGTCTGTAAAGAGAGGTTCATTCGATGGAACTGTTGTGTGCAGTGAAATGAAAGCTCGCAAAAAGAAGAAAAAGGCATCCCTAACGGTACTTTCGAGTTGTGGTATTCCTCATTTCCGTGCTTATCAGTAGTTTTTTGCATCAGAGCTCCTTCGTTGAAATGGATGATGGAAATGGGTTTCCAAATGGGAAGCGAACTTGGGCTGAAAAGCCCTTGTCATCAGCTAACTCTTCGACTCTGTCAGTAAGAAGCGGAAAGAAGAAGAAGAGGAGGAGGATATCACAAAACGTATTCGTAGACTTTTTTATAGTTTCTCAGAGTTTTCCATATTCACATTTTAAAAGGTCGTTCAATCAAATTCTCTTCTTGCAGGCTCCCTCCATGGACCTCAGTCCTCAAAGTCCACGTGATTTCTCATATCAGAGTTCGTTTACAGATGACTCATGTTTCAAAACTCCTAAAAAGCTCAAGCGAGTGAGTCATTTGATTCTGATGGAGACCTTTTCAGTACTGCTAGTGGTAATTTACAGAAGTTAACCGCTGAAGAAGCCGCTAGTTCTCTTGTAAAGAGAGGTTCATTCGATGGCACGGTTGTGTAATAAGTTAAAACCACGCAAAAAGAAGAAAAACAATTAAGCGGTTATTATGATTTCGTCCTTGCCTACAACCTAAAGGTTTTGTTGTTGTCTGTTCCGGATGACAGTGATCTTAATGCTTAGCCGTACCGTCTTGTTGTCTTTGCTCAAGTAATAAGTTCTTGTTATGTACAAATCTTGTTCTTCTGCCAGCTGTTTTGTTTTTATTGCCTGTTGATTGCGGTTCAGTTGTTAATCTGAGGTCTGAGAGAGAGATAATTTTTGTCAGGTTGAACTTGTCTTGTAAAATGAACAATAAGTATATGGTGGTTTTCCTGAAAAAAATGTATCATCGCTATTATACTACTTACAGTTCAGTATGCTGTAGCTGCTTCTTTTCCTTGGTACGGTTCGGCTTGGCGGAGGCATCTCGCTGGTTCCGTCGATCAAATGCTTTGCCTCCTAAGGAGATCCGTAAATTCCGGGAAGTTGTGCAATAGCAGAAACTTCGTTACATTTGGTACGAGTCCACAGGTCTCGTCAAGACTTGACATTATCTAGCAGAAATTAGCGAAAATGCAAATGCCCCTCCCAAGCAAAACAGCGGCTTTTTTTCCCCTCATAAAAAACCGAGCAAAAATACATGATCCACTTCGCTGTATCATATTGAATAAGCAGAAATGGGACGAGGTCTGACTCGTTATCTGTCTTATCAGTTCCTTCTCACATAGGGTTCAGGGTACTTTGAATGCTTGAAGCATAGTAGAGGTGATTTTGTGTGACTTGACTGTGACTTAGTCTTCCCTAGTACTCCATTGCATTCTCGTTTTTATTTTTTGTTTTTTGTTGAACGAAACCAAGATTGATGTGTGCAAGGTTTCGGGTCCTAAATGCTTCCTAAGATTCATCCTCCATACTGCTCGACATTTTTCGTTTTTTTTTTTTTTTTTGTTGAACGAAACTGTCAGTTTGTGACGACATTTCCTTCCCTGAGTATACTTCCTTAGTTCTACTCAAAGCTTAAATCATGCGTGAGACATCTCAATGGCTAGCTATTCACTACAGGGGTTATGAAAAACGAATCGTTAAGAACCGACCGATCGTCAATAATGATGTCTTTCTGGGCGGAAGGTTCTTTCATGTGTAGGAAGCTACCCTCTATAGCTCTCCACTTTTACAGAACGGATAAGTTAGATAGGTGGTGAGAGAGGCTAGGTCCTTGCAATGACAGGCCGTGTCTGGAGTGATGGGTTCACGGCGCCAAGACCGTTTTCCACTGATTTTTGAAGTGAACAAGTGACAAAACTGTATCATATAGATAGTGTCGATCGTTTGCCACCAACTGTTGTCACATAGCCGCTTCAGCAAGTGGTGCAAAACGAATTTGGGGCCGTGCCATTTCCGGCATCCGC